TCTTCATCGCTTGTGGCTAACTCGTTGGCAGGTATTTCCATAGGTGATGCATTGTCCTGCTCTTCTTGGCAAGAGGAAGTTGCAGAGGCGTCAGATTCGTCGCTGCTGCTTATTATGTAGCTGCTCATGACTCGTTTTGCAAAGAAAAAGGAAATGTTGCTGGAAGGTGGAGTTTAGGGTTGTTGGGACGACATTATAATCGTTAATTTCTGAAAATTTACAAAAGACAGAAGATAAACTAATAAAATCAGGTCAGTTATCTATGAGTGAACCCTGTCTTTCAATTCATAATGTAGGTGGCCTATCCGAGCTGCTCTGTTATCTCGTCTTGTCCTCGAAATTGGGTGATAGTACGATTACTAGTATACGATTTTCGTGTGGGCATGAAATTCACCTGGTGATTCACGCTGTGAATAATAAATAAACAGACGACATCATTCAGGTCATAACGGCTACAACCCGGTCTTAGTGCTTGCACAATTTCCCAAACAACTGAAAGTTTCATCGAAGGTTAGAATAGAGCAATGCGTGTATTCAATCGTGCAAAGAGTTGTTGCTTATTCCAGGTTCGATCGAGGCTTTACCTGTGAGGCCTGCGCAAAGGATGGGCTTGAAGTTTGATCGGTGTCTCACGCTTCATCGATGCCCAGACGGCGTTTGCTCCTTCCAAAGAAACCCACAAAACGCTCAAAGCCCTTGATGAGAGAGTTGAAGCCTCTTGGAAAAAATACGGCAGCTCGCTCCTCCTGGTTGAGTGTTTTCTTCAAGGCCTTGAAGTCGGACTTCTTGTATTGGTTAGCGTCGCCGAGCGGGACACGAAGCTTGTTCGTGACAGCTCCATCTTCAACGTTGTAGAGATCGGCGTAGAAGCCGTTGTGAGTGGTCCTTTTCGGAGTAGCAGAGACAGCATCGGTGCTGGCGACAAGAACGATGGCAATGGCCAACAGGATCTCGACAAGACGCATCATGGAGGGGCTGGGACTTGGCGTTGATGCACTTAGAAGGCAGTTTGAAAATGAATTGAAGAAACATATTGCATGTAACAATAAGATAGGGCTTGCAGATTGTTTACGGCTTGGCATGATACAATTATATCACGGCCAAAATGTGCACATCCGAAGCTGCAATACAGCCGTTCTCGTAGCATTGACGGCCAGTAAGTTAGAAGGATACCTTACTGGACACATAATGTGGACGGCAGACTCGGTGCATGCTTTTCAAATTGAATACGAACCGGTAAAGATAGACTCACTATTTTGCTCGTTGTAGATCGTAAGCAGGGCTCGGTATATT